CATAGGATTATCTCTCCCATTATCCATAATATTGTAATTTATAAGTTTGTAGTGTCTGGTTCGCGATAAGTGACTATAGTCTGTTGCATCTGAATTGTCTTGTCTGAATGCAATATTTCGAAAATATTTCCTATTTATATTTTTGGCGCGACTCTGAATTTTTACTAGAAAAACGAAAGCAACAAATAATGATTCGTGGCGTCACAGATAATGTATTTTTACTTATTACTATTCGGTCTATATCTGAAGGTTCTATAACGTTTTAGAATCCTGTTAGAGAAAAACACGATTGAAGTTTCGAGTTCCAGTATTTCTAAAAATAATATATCGTGTCTCCTTTATTTTTCTGAGATTCTGCATGGAATCACGTGCAAAATATTCTCAAGAACTTCTACTTTACAAAAAAAAAGAGAAGTTTGAACCTCTCGTAATGGTTAACCCCTTAATAGCCTGTGACGCGGTCGATCGCGCGTGCAAGATACGCAGTGGCTCCTTGGGTTCGATCGGATCTAGGATCCGGGGATAACTTCGACTCGAAATTTGTCTGAAGTCGAAGGACGTTGGTGCAGTCGGACACGATGACGATGTTGCTCGCGATCGTGGATTCGTGGCGGACCAGCCGAAGCAGGAACAGCGGAGAGCGTGGAAAACAGGTTTCTCTCGCCGCGGCACCGTAGATCCCCGACGATGTCATTCGGGCAAAATGGTAACCAGCTTCGGGCCCGGGATTTCACTGTAAATGTCAGGCGTCGTCGCGTAAAACGTCCCAGCGATTTGAAGGAAAGTCGTTCGACCGGGAGAACGGTCGGTGCCTCTCGTGTTTCTCGCGGTTCGCGCTTTTGCCTCGCGCATAGCACGCGAATGGCCGACGACTCGTGAAATTGCAGGCGACGCCGGGACGTTTTCGATCTTTATGCCGATAGCTACGCAAAACAAGTGCAACTGGCCGATAAGCAACGCTGCCTGTATCGCCGAGTGCGAAAGTTATAAATTCCTCCGACCGTGCAAGGGATCATTTTGCTCCCTCTTTTTTCCACCTTCGCTCTCTCCGTCTCTTTGCATAGTTTCTCTTCTGCCTCCTTTTCTATCGCAATTTGTCTTCGTTTTTATAGTTCTACTCGCGTCTACCACTCCGATCATTTTTTTTCCAGACTCACGTGTACAGGGTGATTCTAGAAATTGGGGCGAGATGCACTTTCCACGATTTTGCGTCTAAAAGTATCAACGACCATTCATAATGAACAAACATAAAACAAACGTTTATAAGTCTATGGTGACTATTCAGAACACTTAATAAATTGAGTACGGGTTCAGGAAGAGGGTGAAACAGGGCTCTTTCTTTTCATGTTCCCCGGTCAATCACTATAGTAGGTGTCACGCGTTACAAACCTTGAATATTGTATATTATTTCTTGAATTTTGATCGTATATTTATTTCTTTGTTCGTTTGCGTGCTGAGCACACGTAGCATTTTTGGCTAAGTGCACCCAGGGAATTACGTTTCAGAGCATGTAATAAACGAACATCTCGTCTCTTTCCCTCTGTTATTTTACCTCTTCTATCCGTCTGTTTGCCCCTTCTTCTTCCTTCCTCGCGCATTCTGTTCCCCCTCTCAGTTTCTCACCGGCGAATACCTTTGCCCAGACGCTAACGCCTTGAATGAAGTACGGTTACTCCAGGCTTTGGTCTTTGGTATTTTATCAGTGACATTATTATTCCTGCGTCGCCGGCACCATTACGAATTTATAGGCCGGCCAGGAGTGCCTCGAGCGCGTTTCGCAATCGGCATATTTTCGCGACGGGTGGGACTTCGAGGTATTCGACCAACGCGCGTCATAGGTGCCACAAACAATGATTTTTAGTGGAACAATTTTTCACCAGCACCGTCGACACAAGTGTTCGAACCATAATTACAAAATGTGAACATCGGGGCTGTGCCCATATTTTATGACGAATACGACTGCTACTGCTGAAACACTCAGTTTCCGAACCAAGACAAATAAATTCTTATTATTTTGTACCAGAACTGTAAGAACAAGTTCTATATTTTCCACGTCTTTTCTCCGTGCAACGAGCAGTAGCAGCCAGCATAATTATTCCACAAGCAATAATTTCCGCGATAATGAGAAACGTGACGTTTCAAGCGATGCGATCTAATACTTTTGTCGGGTGGATTTTTGGGGCGCTGGATGCCGTAGTTTCGGGGACAACTTTGATTCAACGACGCGATCATCTCCCGGTTGGAAGGGTCTTTCGCCCTTCGTCGCGATCGTTCCCCTCGATCTCGATGGAAATCCCACCCACACGCTCGAGGCGCACATATACGGGGACAGTCGGCTTAGCGGGTCTAACGGTGTGCTCTGGGTTCGCGCCGATGGAAACAGCTGTCGACACCGGCGTTCTTTTTATATACCACTTTCCGTCTCGTCGGTCGGTTTTAGAGGAGCACCGAAGGAACGCTTCCACGTTCCATCGTCAGGACCTTCGGAACGGGAACGAGACGAATGGCGTGGCCGGCTTTCCACGCGCCGCGCGGTATATCGGGACCATCGCGCGCGCGACACGATAAATCCGCTCCGTTTGATATATTATTTGCGCTCGCAGTCGTTGAAAATGGTACCATCGGTCCCCGATCGCTCGTATAAAACGTTCGACATTGACGGCAGCCTTTCTAGATGTAAGAGTCGACCCGGTTCTTCCTTCCATCTGGAGTGATATTCTTTATCGACGAGACCTTGAGGCAACAAAGTTGCCAAAGCTGTTACAGAACTTTCCTGGTATTAAACACCTCGTCGTTATAACCAAATTTACATTTAAAAAAGTTAAACTTAATTTTTCTTTCTTTTTCCAAAATTTTAATGGGATTACAGCTCTGATTCCTATATAAGCCATTTGAAAATTTGAAACAGAATTGATGGTAATTATTTTTTGTGAATATTCCGAAGGTTTGGAATAAGTTCAGTGCAGGTTTGTGTTACATTTGGGTCGATTTGCTCAATCCATTAATATCCAACATCCTCGTTCCAGAACAACGTCAAAATAGAAAATTATTTCACGCTGACGTTGCCAACCGCCTCGCGGCTGCCAGATCTTAATCGAACTCGACCTATAACTGATTTATTTTGTATGATTATTTAAATTAAAAGCGATTATTGTCGATAAGTTTTGGTTGGGCTTTGTCGAAATGCGGACTATTTCTATTAAAAGCAACAAAATTTCTGCAAGAATGTTGTCCGGCGTTTGAACTAGAATGCGTAACGATTTCTATATATAATTTCTCGATCTTTATGGGAACTCTTCAATCTTTCATTTTGCTTAAAAGAGAACAAGATACGAAACCATCTCGAGATTCCAATGTTTACACGTTTTTAGGGTAGGTGCCAGCCGATGTTAATTAAGCAATCGAGTGCCTGTAAATATGGTGTGGCGTAATTCGTTGTTGAATCAAACTGGAAGCGATTTCTTCTCCAAATATAAATTGAAATTTTCGAATACCTTTCCTCTGTATGGTGTCGACACGTCGATAGAGACGTCTCAAAGATTTTCAAGAATTCTCTCCGAGATGTCGAATTGTATTTCAATACACAATCATGGTCTAATATATATGTGTATATTTTGTTTAATAATTATGATGCTTTTATGATTATTATACGTTCGATTGAAATAAATTTCTCATCAAAAATAAAGTATATAATTTTCGACGTCTTTAATTCCACATCCAACAGGATTCGAAAGTATAATAGTTTCTACTATCTCTCGAATAAAGAAACCTAGATTATGGTATGCTCCAATTTTTATTTTTTCTTCTGTATATAAAACTTCTCTCCGTGGCGTTTTGATTGAAGTGAAATTATTTATAGTGTCGTAACATTATATTATAAAATAAATAAATATATTTTGACAAACCGTGGATAGAAAATTGTAATATTGCATGTAACTATAAATTTATAGGTGATTTCAACTTAAATGTATATTAAGTTCAAAATGTACTAAACAAGTTTTGATTAAACCACCACTATTCTGTTCGATATACACAAGATAGGTTTAGCACCTCTATTCAGAGAGGGTAGGTACTAAACAATTATACATAAAACTTAACCGTGATTCTCTGTTTCCTAACGCGTCACTAGAAAATTTATAAAATATCCTTATAATAGAGCAAGTCAAAATATCACCTATGCAATATCGTAAAATTCCTGTCGAAAAGGGGTGTTGTCAAGGGTGTCTAACATTCTGAGCATACTTGTTTACACGACAAAAGTATTTGTGCAACAATTAGTAGAAAGTGAAGCAAATTGTTGCGTTCCACCCAAATTTACCCTATAAGAAATCTCTAGCGATCAAAATAAATATCCGACGAGCGATGGCGTTGCAGGAATTTCGCGTACTCCAAAGCGAGATCCGAAAGTGACCGATGACCCCGCCGTAGTTCCTAAATATCGTGAATCCTGTAGGGAACCGGGGCTCGTGCACGGAGACGCGGCGCGAGGCATTTTTCCAGGCTGGCAGGAGGCCCGAAGCGTTCTCTCCCTCGTCTCGAAACGCAATCGTTTTTGCAGCCGGTCCGGTTCTCCGGGCGGCACCGACCTACCGGAACGCGTGGAACTCGCCCAGCGTCCATCGGGGACCGGCTACGGAGTGCTGGAATATCAGCGATCCCCGGTGTGTCCGTGAGCGGGGAACCTCACGACTCACGAGGACTCGCAACGAGCGGAATGAATCAGGGGAAAGGGAAGTCGGCGCGCGGATAGGACAGGACAGGGCGGTTATCCCTAGGCGGTATGGGACGGAGGGGCGGGTGAGGTGGAGGATAGAAGGGGGGAGGGGAGGGGAAAGGGAGAGGAGTCGAGGGGCAGCAGGTCCGCGGGCTGCGTTGCACGGGCGTCTTCCCCCACCAACGGGCCGGTGTAGCAATGGAGGGGGCTGACGCGACGACAGCGGCGGAGAGCAAGCGTAGAGCGAGCGCAGAGGTTGCGCCGGTTTGGAGTTTTCGGTGCCGTCGCCAGTGACAGAGCCAGTTTCTCGCGTAGCATCGCCCGGCGTCGAGGCGCCCCTTCAGTATGAAGCCGACGACCGTGCCAGCCGCAGCCGCTGCACCTGTCGTCCCGTCTATCGCGACAGCCACGCTCGACCCGGTCGTACGCTCCTGATCGTGGATCCTGCCATCGATACGACGATACCCCATAACGGATACCCATATTCTCAGCTCCGATTTCCCGTCGTCGAGAAAGATCCGAGCGTGCCGGAGACACGCCGCGCGTCGCGTCCTACGCAGCTTCTGGATAAAGAGGGATCATCCTGGATCATCGGCCCGGTGGAATACAGGAGGATCGGCACGAGGAGCGATTCCATCGTGAAGAGATCCTGCAGACGAGAGCGCCACAGCCCGGAGAGGATCGTCGATCTCGTGAAACCCGTTCCGTCTCTCTCTTCCCCGGTCTTCCTCGTCTTTCTTTCGGCCGGTTCTTCCTGGACGTGATCGGTGATCGGCTTGTGTTCCTCCAGTGTTTCTTATTTCCTTACCCACGCCGGGTAAGGTTGCTGCCGCCGCTTCTTCTTCGTCGTCGTCCGTAGTTGTCTTCCTCCTACTCCTCTTCTTATTCTTCTGCTTCTTCTTCTTCTCTTCTCTTCTCTTCTTCTTCTTGCCGACCGTCGCGAGGAGGTTCGTCTCGAAGAAACTGTGATACGCGGTGAAGAAAGAGGAGACGCGTGCGGGACTCCGTATAAAAGTGAAAACTCGTTCCTCCGGTGACGTGGTTCGGGAGCTCCTCCTACTCGGGAGAATCCGGAGTCCGTTCCCGCGCCCTTTTACTGGATATTTCGGACTACGCCAGGAATTCTTCTCTCTTGGATCACCAACGGCTGGATCGGATCCCCACGGCGGCGGATCGAGCGTGCATCGAGGTAAGTCCTTGGAACGATAAATTCCAGCACCCTGCCCCCCAGAGGGGTCAAGAGCTGTCGAACCTCTCGCGCGTCGCGACGCGTGTAGACTGGTTTTCGTGTTCCAGGACCTGTATGCTATCTCCCTTTCTCCTGTAGCCGGCGGACACGCCGATGATGAATCCACGCGATCGCGGTGACCGTCCTTCATCTTCCTATTATCGCGCGGACGCACAATGGGGGATTATTCCGCAATACGGGGTTGTTCCGCAAAAGGGTTGGAAATCGAATAATATGCGAGAATAGTCATGCTGCTATCGATAAATTTCTCGTTCGAATATCGTCGAGTCAGCAGCGCGTTATAGTACAGGTCGAAAAACATAATAAGAGAAGTTTTTAGTTATTATTCGAACGTAATAGCGTCACTCGATAGACGTAAAACATTTTCGACCGTCAACCTGGTCATCTTCAGTATAATAAAATTTACAGTGTCCCAGACTATTGCAATATGTAAGTACGATTCAGTTTCCCTGCGGAGAGAAAGAAAGATCATAACGTGACACCATGAGCGAAGGGTATATGGACTATATCGAATAATTTCTATAGGATGGTTTTTTTGAGGCTAATTAAAATCAACTATTTAAGCAATTTCTACTAGAATTTTTATTTTTCTTACTGTACATTTGTTGTACAATCTTTATTAAGAAAGTAAAATATATATGTTCTGTTTACAGATTTAGAAATTAAAAAAAGAAGGTAATTATGTAATATGGAAAAAGAAGGATAAGAACAAACCGAATCTATCTACTTGTAATGCAAGACATAAGTATTAATTTTTGACAAACAGTTTAGATTTTAAAAATTTACTAAAAATTAGTGTTATTTTTTTATTCGAATAATTTTACACGTAAAAATCTTTTTTTACTTTTGAAATCTGCGGGTAGTAGGCATTCATAGCTTGCAGAATATAATTGCATATAAACAGATTTTTCGGGAAATTAATGAGAATACCAATGTATATAATTGTTTCCATCAGACATAATTACTCTTCATTAGAGTTTAAAATTAGCCTTTCTCAATATTAATATCCTATGCTTTCGTACGTAGATTGGCAGTGCTAAATATTGAAATTAATTCACGTAAATTCATCCACAACACTACATAAATGAATGGGAATGATTGCGTCATATTAATACTACTCTATGCATTCTGAAACAGCAATTTCGTGCTTATATCACGAAACTCATTTAAAAGTCATTCGTGGACCGTAGTTTGACGACCCCTATTGTAGACGAAAGAGACATCTACCTAGGACCACGATTTAAAATGGGTCCTCAAAATAAGCGTTTCAAGAATTCATGGATATTATTAGTACATAATATGCAACTAAACTTCTTTATTCGAAAAAATTTGGCGAATATATACAAATATAAACATCATGGAATTAAAACTTTTGGAGCAGTTCTGCGCAATACACTCGTGCCGTGCTATAAATACATCGTGCAAACCTGTTTTCCATTTTTTACAAATTAGGTTTAAATTGATCGACTTCGTTTTCGACTTCGCGACGACAATCGAGCAATTTATCGAGCTGCGATATCGCGATTCCGCAGTCAAATGATTAATAGGTATAAGAAACCAAAGAAAGTAAGAAAAATTATTCCTGTTTTCGAGAATATTAATTAAAGAAAAGGTGTGGATATCGATAGGCAAAACAAGCATTCTAAGTTGTTTTAATATTATGATAGAAACACATTTACGATCAGTGGACGTAGTAGACATTGAAAAACCCTAGTCCCTAAATTGTTAGTACCTTAAAAAGGGTGAATCTTTACTCTTTGTAAAATATATAATGTGCATTATAGTCATAGTAACGGAATTCTTTTCTGAATTTGTATTTGTAACAAACAGACGAACAGTTAGTTGAGTCTTTCACTTGTATCCGTAGTAATTTAAGAAGTATTAATTTCGAACTTCCATAATTGTGCATACTCGCATACTTCGCAGAATGAAATGGGTTAAACCAGCGAAACATTTCCTCAAATCAGTATAATAATTTCGAAAGAGAGAGTTACAATTCTAGGAAAAGAAGCCGGCACAATAATTAATCGATAACAATTTAGAAATTCTTTCTGATCAATAAACGTGATTGCAACAGGAATTTATTAGTACTAATTTGAATAAAAATATTGAGCGTAGAGTTACGAATTTATTAATTATCGTTCGTTATTACTGGTATAATTGTTGATATCATAAGGATATTATCGATAGGTACGAGATCATCGATAGCGTATCGGTAATCGTTAATTTCGGACGTAAATAAAATTATTAAATTAACCACTATCAACGGTGCAATCATTTAATTATATCGCGATTAAGGAAATAATTGAAAAATGAACTCAGACGATTAACACACATCGATTTTTATGAAACATTACACAAATGTTCGTTGGACCTACCTAAGAATTTAACTGTAATTGATTCGTGCCACAAACATAGTTGAACGTCTCGTTCTTCTACATGCAAAATAACCGGATGTATTAGAAACATATTTTATAATTTTATTCAAATTTATGAGCACATCGATGTTTACATAGAATATACAGAAGTGAACTAAATTTTCTTCGTTTCGTATTTTTTATTTGAATTGCAGACACGAACTATGGACTTCTTTAACGATCGCTGAAAAACAAAACAATAGAAACATACGAAATTACTTTTACCTTAACGAGTAAGAAACGTCCTTCAGAATATAATCATGGAACACGATTTACATCGTCTTGCGTCCTTTGTGCCATATTTCGTACAAACTTACACACTGTTATCTTTTTTACGTTTACCTTTTCGCATAAAACGCGACGAGTTGCTTGGATTGTGAATGAAATCATACTTTGAATATAAATGAAACCATTAAAACTGAAGAGGCTGGTTGCATTATAAGTATCAAGAATAAGATTTCATCTGCGAGGATGTACGGTCACAATAGTCCTGTTGTTCTCGTCGTGTGAACGCCTAGATGAAATAAGAAAATAGTCGCGTAGATTCGTATTTCTTACTCCGTTGAGAATATGTAAAGTACACAAGGATAGTATGAGATACGGAGATCAACGTCGAGATATTATTCTTATATTTATGCTAGCTAAATTTGCTCGTACTTTGTACGGGATTATATTTTGCAACCGGTCGTGGAAAGATGTCAGGCAGAAACGTCTTTTCGTTCATTTATTGCAGAGTATTTTGAAAGTTTATCTCGTTTTAGACATTGTAATTAGTTATCGAGAAAATAATTGAGACTTTGAAATCGAACATTTAATAAAGTTTACTAAAATCTTTTTGGAAGGTACTCAATAAATTGCATAACTTTGAGTCATTTTCAATTAATGCCTTTACAGGCACACATTTCTCGTAAATAAAGCGACGTCGTAATTTCAAATACGAATTCAAGGAACACGAGTAGTAAAAGTTGTCCAAATAAGTATTCGTCCTATTCAATCTGGTTTTCAAGTTACACTTACATCATACCGGCTGCTTTCACGGAAACTGTTCCAGCAATTAATTTTCGCTTAAAAAAATGTACTTGTTCCAAAGATTCGTCGATAATTCGTAGCCATCGAATTTTTCAACCGCATACGATTTCGCGAGTTCCTCGTAAACAGTGTCAGATAATTCAAACCTTGATACAAGCGTTTTTTATTATTCATGTACACTGAATTCGGCCACGTTTCATGGTACTCGCTGTGTTGGATCAATTACCTCTCGATAACTTTCGTTCCGCATCTGTAAGTTCGCGTTTCTTAATTAACTTTCTCGATAATTTCGAGAGACGAATGTACAAGGTTAATTCGAGAGCGTTGGCAATGCAAATTTTTATAACATCGAGTTGCAAATAGAGTTACCATCTCTGGAACGTGAAAAAGAGTACCAAAAATATACTTTTACTCTCCATAAATCAAATTTTTCAATACATTTGGAAATAAATTATATAATAAGACACTGGTAAACGTTGAGAAGTGTGACAAACAAAGCTCCCTTTGGATAACATTATAAAACTTTTATGCTGAAAATAGACTATGCTTGTGAATGATACAATTAGCTTATTTTATATTCATAAACGATTTCATAGATATCTTCTAAAAGTAGCAATGGATAATAAAAAATTAAGAGATAATGATCCAAAGGGAGAGTGTTTAACATTTTTATACGTGTAAAGTTGAATTAAGTAAACAAAATTCCGTAATATCAAAAGAAGTAGAGAAAAATATATTTCACGATGAACAAATAAAAATTTCGGTTGCTCGATCGAAGAGATTAGTGATCAAACACTGTTATACGTTGGTTTTAATGGTTTCATCTATTACTCGAATAAAATTTTGCCCATCTATGGTGATAAGGGTTACTGTCGCGAATTTCGCTCAACAATGGTGGCTCGAAACGAGCGTGTCGTGGGATCGACCGTTATAAATCATTCTAAGCGCGTTACGGAGCAGGGAAAATTGCCGGCGTGATCTTTCATCTTCCCATTATCGTTCGAGTAGCACGGTCAGGATCACGATGATTCTCGTTCCACGACTAGCGCGATTCAATTGACTCGAAGAATTACGCGACCCGCGATGTTGTTCGGACGCCATGCTTGACCTATCGTCCGCGCGTAACGAGACCTACGATCGCTCGAAAGATCATTTTTAACGACATGATAACGTTGACATTCGCGATTCGAATCTCTCGAAGTACTTCGAAACTTCTTTCACTCGATTTTTTGAATGTTTATTCAAGTGCCACTCCCGATCGACATCGATTAAAGCTTGTTTCTAGATAAGCGTTTCTACACATAACGCGTCGAATATTTATCTTAAGACAAGTTTTATTCGGAAGATTATAAGTATTCGAATATAGAATTCAAAGACAAGAATATTTTTTATCGTAATAAATATGCTCTGATGTTAGAAACTTGAATACCGAAAAATGGCACACATTATCCACTACAACTTATGTATAATTTTTCCTAAAGAGGACCATCATAA